ATATACTTATCGATAATGGCACTTGATACAACCTGCATAGTTCCAACTTGTAACAAGTTACTTACATGGTATGATGATTCTAAAGAAATGGGGCTCTTACAGGTGAACGAGGATCAGTTGCAACGGTATCTACTAACCTTTAAGAAATTTGCATCTATGTTGCTAGCAATTGCCCTGGCTAACAATGTCTTGCCAGTTCCGGGAGGACCATAAAGAAGAACACCCTAAACGAGAAATAGCATTGCTGAAAGTAAACACCAATATAACATTAAAAATCTTGTTTCTTTAAAAAGTATTACCTTTGGGGGTTTAATGCCGACCCTTAAGAAGAGTTCAGGATTCATCAGAGGCAACTCTATAGATTCTCTCAGTTCTCGGATCTGATCTGACAGCCCACCCACAGCCGAATAGCTTACATTCCCAGGGTCTTCATGAAGCATATTATATACAACTGGATCAACCTGACACAGACATCAAAAACCAATGAGTCGAGATAAGAATATAGAATTAATGCCATGATATCCTTCTAAACCCAAATATCAACGTATTCCATCAAATTGTTGTGTACCTCACGAGGGAGAGCTCGCATAATAGTGAGAGTTGTCATATCAAGAACTACTCTTGTGCCTGCTGTAAGTTTCTCTTTGTCTACTTTACTGCGGCAGCCAACTACATACCGTGGACCACTGCTGGCTTTGACTATCACTGTAGAATATTACACAAAGTCAGTGTAAAATTTTATGTCTTTTCACCTCCTTGCTTATGAAGAACTACAGAACTAAGAAATGGTCAGAAAAGGCAAAAAAATTATTGAAAAATCAATTTTCAGAATAAATACTCAAATCTAAAGATAATGATGACAAGAAATAGATTAGAGAATTCTTACAGCGCTCATTGTCCAGGGGCCTGAGAACTTCGCCAATGATCTGTCCAACACTCTGAAGTGACTTTAAATCATCTTCTGTTTTAGCATATTCCTTCTTTGTAGCTCTTAAATTCTCTCTAACTATAAAAAAATTATACAGTGTCTTTAAGGCAGAGCTATAATGTATAACATATACGAAGGCAAAGATATAGTTGAAGTGACATAGCGAAGATGCTGAAAAGAAGTCCAAATTCTGATCTATCATGATTTAAAGATCATACACAATGATCAAACAAAAATAACGAAACTCATAAAATTCTACATATAAGTGAAATTGAAGATCGTGGCTTTTCTGAACTTGAGAACTACTTGCATACATAATTTAGTACACCCATACTTCTAACATGCCGCTTATGATATAGTAACTAATCCAAATAGATAGTCCACCATGCAGTTATGTATCTCAGATATATGTACAGATCTCCTCACCGGACTAGCAGAGCCTAAGATCTCATTAGACACCCATACAAATTTAGCTCAGTTTCAGACATGCATCAATGGTATACAAATTGGAAAACAATTAGCAGCTAGCAATCCAGGTATTCAAAAGTCAACCATATATGATCTGCAAAACATGAACTTTATTGTCTGTAGAGAAGTCCTTTTATGAAACTTAATATCTCACACTATTTTAGAGAAAAGAAATAACTGTTATATAACCTTTAGTGAAGTAAAATTTAAATGATAGAATTTACTAACGTAGATTCATAGAAGTCATAATATTATTCTATGAACAAGTTTTATAGCAACCTCTTTTCAAGATGAATATCACATTTTTTACTCAACTAATGTTGATACCACGGGATGACTTCCTCTCAACTTGTAGCTGAAATGAATATTTTCCTGTATTTTTGTGTTCTTTCAGAAATGTACTGACCAAGCCACAGATAGTGAAAGAACCCAAAGACCAAATAACATAGCTACTTGAGCCCAAGAAGGATACAAGTCTGACACAAAACGCAAAGCATCTCAAGAACATTTTCAAGCCCATGTCCAAAATGATAAACTTTTGCCATCAAATGGAAGAGAAATATTATTGATTATGTGGAGAAACTACCCATAGGTCATATTTGGCTGTAGCCTATTAAAAGGAATAGGCACAAACCTTGGGCGAAAGAGAAGAATATTCTTCTAATCTTCTTCCAATTAGAAACACCATTGACTACTTTCTTCAAATATGGATGCATTTTTAGCATGAGGACCACAATATCATGGAAAGAAAAATTTTTGAAGGAACATTGGCATGGGAACTACAAAGAAAATACACAAGATAGGAGAGGAAAAAAACACGTTTCATTCCAAAATTCTTTTTCTCATGGCTTTCTAAATTTTTAGCCAAGGCAAGGGATGAAATTTGTGGTGTAGGTGTAATATTTCTCTACCCTTTGGAGATTGTATTTTTAATATAAGCTTTCTTGTGATTTATTATCTATGTAGAGAAGAATTATTATTAATATTTTGCAAATTAATTTTTGTTCATTTTTAACTCTAAAGTACAATTAATACTTTTTCCAAACATAGGAATGGATGTCATATTTCATTTTCTGTAAAAAATTATTCTGAGGGAACTGATTCCAATCATAGGGCAATGCCAATTTACTCTAATCTACAATCTACCGATGTGAGCTCTTGCGAAGATCAACATGTTATCCAGAAGTGGTTGCTAAGCAAGCAGGCTTTAGGCTACCCTGGCTGAATCAACAACCCCAGTACATACTAACAAGTACAAACACCAACAACTAACGCAGAAAACTACTACAGCATATGAAACTAGTGCAGAATAACTATGAGGTAACTTTCAGGTAACAAAACTTACTCTCAGAAACCTAGTAAAACAATCACCCCAGTGATGAGGTAATTCCTGTGCTAATAATGCAATCTACCAGTTGGAACTAATACCCTTCACACCAACTTTCTCCCTTGACCAAAACTCAAATTAAATAAACCAGTCAATCCAATAGGCAACACCCAAAAACCAAAGCTTACTCCAACAAGGACAAATCCATTCACAAACTAAATTGTTAATGAAATCAAATTTAAATTGTTCAAAAATTAGACTGTAAATCTAATTAAATAGATAATTAATTAATCAAATTAAAGTCTAGCTCCAACAACTCCTCAATTTTATCAAAACCAGTCAAAATGAGGTAAACTCTAAATATTTAAACCAGTAAAATCACAGATATTTCAACGAAGCCTAGAATATCAACTCCTTTGCCACTCATCTTCACTTATCTGTTCATAAACCGCCTTAAAGTTTAATAGCACAAATCTAAACAATATACACAAGACATTACTAAATCCACGCATAAATATTCATGGAAGGTACTGTTTAAAAAAAACTCCGCAAAGATAATTAAGGAGAAGACTAGGGTTTATGAAAACGCCACCAGATCGGACGCGGCTCTCAAGTTCTTTGTGGCTGAGGAGCTTTTTCCGGTAGTCCTGAATCGCCGTCTTCCGGCGAACGGCGTCTTCACTCTCGGTTGCCATTATAGATCTTTTGATTTTTGTTGTTCTTCGATCTGAATAAAATGTAAACTCCCAGTGCTGTATTCGTTTTGGTATGGTTCAAGAACAAGTTCAACTTGCCAACCAAGCAAGGTAACAAATTTTTTTGACAAATATAGCACTAAATTGTTTTCCACGGCTAATCCGTTGTTTGAGGATCATTATTTGAGAAAAACCATATTTTGAATTTTAGGAGAACGTGTCTTTGTAAGGTAGGAAAAAAAATTTAAATTTACGTGTAGAATATTTTATTGTGTGAATGTTTAGTTGAAATTAAATATAAAATAAGGAATTTTTAATTAATGATTGTCAAACAGGACTATGATTTATATTATTATTTCTTGATCCTGAGTCGGTCATTTTGTATGGCCTTGTTTGCGCCACCTTTTTATAGAATAAGAATGAAAAATATGGTAGTTATTGGGGCCACATAAGAGATAGAAAATTTGAATTTAAATGTTGATATGATGGATAACGATCACATTTTTCATTTTAATGAAAAGATAAGGTGGCCCAAACGGAGGCACAAGAACATGTCTAGTATATGTTATTGTGAACCTGTCTGATGGAAATTTTTTTAACCAAAAAATCAATTTTTTTACCCTTTTTTTCCCACACTTTTTGCTCCACCGGACACACAAAAGTCAAACTTTTCGGCTGAATAGTATTCCCAACGTTCCAAATTGTGATTTATAGTAGAAACGGATAGGCCCTGTATGAAATTGTACAAAATAATGTCAAGATTGTACAAATACATTGTAATTTTTTCAATTGAATTTGGCTCGGCAAAACAAAGCTTTTAAGATTATAAGCTAGCGAGTCCATAAAATGTGTAGTTAAAAAGTGAATAAAAACTATGAATTAAATTAAATGCATAATTAGAAATAAAGTTTGACAAACTTTTAATCTCAACAAATTTTGTCAAATGGTACCATAGGTTAATGCATTTCTTTTTTTTGAAACTTCTCACGTCAACGGTTGTCAATCAAGAAGCAATGTGTTTTAATTAGGTATGTTAAGCGGATGCGAGATTAGCAATGAAATTCTCGTGCGAGTCGCTCTTCGGCTCATACGAATTAACTCGTGAACTAACTCATCGTAACGAGAAAAAATATAATTTCAGTAAAATAGTTGACGAGTTACGAATGAATCGGCTCTTCGGAGGATCTAGCCGAATCCGTTAGTAGCTAGGCAAGTTGAGCTCAACTCAATCAATTTAACATGGAACAAAATTTAGTAAAATGCAAAAAATATATTTGAGTTTAGATTTTGTCTACAACCACTAATCCAATTTAGCCACACATGTAAAGAATGGTGTGTGACCATTTCAAGTGGTGCAATTGCTGGTCTGTAAAGCCTTCCAAGAATAGGCGCCAAAACTTAAAACAGAAATTCTATAACATCTCTCTCCACCCCACAATCATGCGATAATTTTGCAAATTCAACAAAAATTGATTATATTTTTATACAATTGATGATGTGTAACTGAATCTTTGTTTTCATCTTCCATAGACAAATCCTAGTTTTCTCATCCTCCCCAACAGGAGGGCTGGAGATGGAAAAGATGATTAAACTACACTCTTCTTCCAATCTCCGCCTATCGCCACTGTCTTCCACCCCCGCAACCATGGCGGCGATCCTCCTGGTTCTTTGTATTTCTATCCCATATTCTGTCAATGCTTTAAAATCTGATTCATTCACCCCACAAGATAGCTTCCTTCTTGATTGTGGCGCCACCACCTCCACCACCCTCGCAGGCCAAAGGGTGTTCTTGAATGATCAAGAAACCAGCCAATATTTGGCCTATGAAGGACGAGATGTTAAGGTTTCTGTCACGTCCGCTGATGTTCCTTCACCGGTTTATCTGTCTGCTAAAATATTTGAATCCATTGCGACGTACACTTTCCATGTTACCCGGCCGGGTTGGCATTGGATTAGGCTCCACTTTTTCCCGGTCGAGAACAGCGAGAAGGATTTGAAGAATGCGGAATTTTTAGTCAAGACGAATGATTTGATACTAATCCATGAATTTGAAAACACTGGAAACACAAGTTGGTCTATGAGGGAGTACCTTGTCAATGTGACAACAGAGAGGTATTCTGTTGTATTCCAACCTAATAGAGACAGTGTGGCTTATGTTAATGGAATTGAATTCGTTTCAGCTCCCGATATTCTTATTGGCGATGTTGCTTCGATGCTTTTCCCCAAGGGGCAGTACCAGGGGCTAGGCCACAATGCGTACCAGACCATGTACAGGTTGAATGTGGGAGGCAATGCTGTCACCCCACAGAATGATACCATTGGAAGATCCTGGGAACCTGATCATGCATATATCGATCCAAGTGTTACAGCCTCGAATGCTTCTGTCTCGCCGAGTATTATTACATATCCTGAGGGGGAGTCGCCCTTCATTGCTCCACCTATGGTTTATGCATCCGCCACTGAAATGGCAGATGCCAATGTTCTGGTCCCTAATTTCAACATCACTTGGAGAATGAACATTGATACTTCATTCACGTATCTGGTTCGTTTGCATTTTGCTGATATCGTGAGCAAATCTGTAAATGATCTCTATTTCAATGTATTCATTAATGGGAAGCCTGCGATTACGGGACTGGACTTGACCACCGTGGCAGGTGGCTTGACGGCAGCTTATTATGCTGATTTTGTGATGAATTCTTCCATGGTGGTCAATGCCAACCCGTTGACTGTTCAGGTTGGACCGATGAATGAAAATACCGGTACAAGAAATGCACTTCTCAATGGTCTTGAGGTTTTCAGGATGAACAATTCTGTTGGTAGCCTGGATGGAGAATATGGTGTTGATGGGAAGTCAGCTGATGGGCCAGGCCGTGGTACCGTGGCTGCTGTTGGATTTGCAATGATGTTTGGAGCATTTGTCGGTTTGGGAGCAATGGCTGTTAAGTGGCAAAAGAGGCCACAAGATTGGCAGCAGAGTCATAGCTTTTCGTCTTGGTTACTTCCACTCCACGCTGGAGACAATAGCTTTATGTCAAACAGCAAGACTTCTTTAGGCTCTCGTAAGAGCCAATTCTTCTCATCGACTTCGGGATTAGGCCGATACTTTTATTTAGCAGAGTTGCAGGAGGCAACCAAGAACTGGGATCCAAGTGCAATCATTGGTGTTGGTGGCTTTGGCAATGTCTATATAGGAGAAATTGATGATGGACTGAAGGTCGCCATTAAACGAGGCAATCCACAGTCCGAACAAGGGATTAATGAGTTCCAGACAGAGATTCAAATGTTGTCCAAGCTTAGACATCGCCATTTGGTTTCATTGATTGGATATTGTGATGAAAACTCTGAGATGATTCTGGTTTATGAGTACATGTCCAATGGACCTTTCCGCGACCATATTTATGGGAAGGATTTGCCACCCCTATCTTGGAAGCAGAGGCTCGAAATCTGCATTGGGGCTGCTCGTGGGCTGCACTACCTGCATACTGGCACGGCTCAAGGCATCATTCATCGTGATGTCAAGACCACCAACATCTTGTTGGATGACGATTTCACAGCAAAGATGGCTGATTTTGGGCTGTCTAAAGATGGTGCAACAGGTGGTGAGCAAACTCACGTGAGCACGGCTGTTAAAGGAAGCTTTGGGTACCTTGACCCTGAGTACTTCAGGAAACAGCAGCTCACGGAGAAGTCCGACGTGTACTCATTTGGGGTTGTCCTGTTCGAGGTCTTGTGCGCCCGTCCTGCCATCAACCCTGCATTGCCAAGAGAGCAAGTCAACTTGGCAGAATGGGCAATGCAATGGAAGCGAAAAGATCTATTAGACAAAATCATCGATCCCACACTAATCGGGCACATCAACCCTGAGTCAATGAAGAAATTTGCAGAAGCTGCCGAAAAATGTTTGGCTGAATATGGGGTCGACAGGCCTAGTATGGGTGACGTCTTGTGGAACTTGGAGTACGCTTTGCAGCTTCAAGAAGCCTCATCCCAAGGAAAAACTGACGAAGAAAATAAGGCATTAGCCTCCACGGCCTCTCCTCCTATAGTCCCTCCTGACCCGGCTGAAGTACAAGTCATTGAGGAGCACTCTGGAACAGCAATGTTTTCACAATTTGCCTCCCTTAGTGGGCGATAATTGGTCGTTTATTATATGATCGAACAGAAATCTAGATGGTATATATATAATTACCACATAAAAGTTGAATTATAGGTTGCCAATGTACATTTACTGCATCAAGCAGCTAATCTGTCATTTCTTCTATATGAATTGACAGATCTTCTGTATTCCCAACGTATGTGTTATATATGGTGTAATTTAAGTAATTTTTCTTTTTAGATGTAAATATGGTCGTCAGTTGTCACTAAATTTTCTGCCACTCTCTTCACATTCACCAAAACACTCACAGACAGCATGACATTTCCATTTTCCTCGCGATCGACTGTGATTAAGAAAATGAAAATGATCGTCAGCAGAAGTATAATCCAATATACAAAAATCTCTAGAATTACATTTCCACTTATAATTTATAAATAAAAACTGGGCTGCTTCTTTTGAAAGTATTTCTGGAGAAAAACATCTAGAAAAGCTGCTTTCTAGCATAGTCAAATTCCATGAAGAAAAGGAAAACTTATCAATATGATAAAACAGTTATCTTTCAATTTTATCATACGATAGTCAACGGAAATTGTGAAAATGTAAATTTAACCTTTAAAGACACGACCTCTCACACTGATGAAAGCTTGAAAATTTTATCTATGTTTTCTTTTTCCGGTTGAAAGTGAGAAATTTCAGTCAAACCATTCACAAAGTAGGTTCAGGCATCAAATAAATCCTCAGAAGAAAACTTGTAGCATAAAATTTTCGATTTAGATATTAGAAAACCTTTGAAACACAAAGGAATTGGAGTCACGCTGTTTCTTCAGATCTTTCCCTGCTATATATTGTAGAACATGTAAATAGCTTCAAATTGTTTACAGCCTTTAGAATAAGTTTTTCACAAAAGGATTTCTTCGTTTTTCTGATTCTGTCGGAATATTTGCAGGTTTCTACTTGTTATGAAGAAATCTAAAGCTAGCATTTTCTAAATTCTAGTACGAAAACAAGCATGCGCAAATCCTACGTTGACGATTAAGTCCTTAAATCCATTATACGCACCCTTGTTTGAGCCCATTTTATCAAAAATTCATTTTTTTTCAAAAACTCATTCAATAAAATAATAGTACACGTAAATTGAAAAAAAAATCATTTTTAACCACACATTCTCCAAAACTAACTATTCAAAAATGCATTTTTTTCTCCTAAAATAGGGCTCAAACAAGGGTGTTGGGATATTAGGTCAAAGTGCAATTCAGTAGATAACGGTACAATGTGCTTATATTCCACTAGTCCAAAACAAGAAGGAGAGGGAGGTTGGGGTTCGAATCAACCTTTCTTGATTGAATGTTTGCAATTGACTTTGATAGTCACCACACCATCCCCATGTATGAATAAGATTGGAACCCTTTTGGTTGACCTTATATATAGTTGGAGGTGTGGAGTCAAATGAGAAATACCTCATAAAGGCTAGGCTTAGTGAACCAATGAACCAGAGTAAATGTAGATAACTATTCTTCCAAATCCATAAGCATGCACTTCACACTAACCAGTCCCATCTTTTTTCATACCTTATTTCACACTATTGAAAACTCTTATAATTACAAACACCCTCGATATCAACAAAAATTTTAACGGATATATCAAGGGATAGCTTCCCACAAAAGTAAGATTGGGTGTTCTTTCATGGCATGTATATCAATTTATTAGTCTCATTCTACTAATGTAATGTAATGTTTGATGATTATTCAGAGGAAGGGGGTCGTCGAGATACTACTCAAGAAAAGCGATCATTTGCGTGCATATCCGACGTGCATTGTTTAGCAGATCTAAAGAAACAAGAACACCATGATAATAAGAAGAGGAAGAAGCATTCAGATAGGCAGGCTAATCCATCATGCCGCAGGGTGCAAAGTAGTGATCAATGCTCTACTTCAATATATGGCATATAGATGTACTTCTAAAGATAAAGGCACGTTTAATTTTTTAATTTTTTTTGTTTTCTATTATGATGTTTTCTATTATGATTCATTTAGATCGACATGAGAGTCGCTACATTATATTATCAGAATCCATGTTGTGTATAAAATTAAAAGAGATTGACCTCGCTTCTCTCATATACACATCGAGTCCCTTTTCTCTTCTATCCACAAGACAATATACCTTCAGCTTGTTTTGACGAGCTAGAACCATCTTTAGAATGTACATTCAAATCATTTTCCTATAATGGTTTTATACGTCGATGAAACTAAAAAATCCGAGGAAAATTATACATCAAACATGGGTCGAGCTGCATGAATATTTGTATTGCTTTGGACTGAAAAGTGAAACATAAGATCCCCAACAGCCTGCCAAGTTGCCAAGATTTCCCCTTGCCAATATTTTTGTACACAAACACGACAAAATCTTGCTGACAATACAACCATACTTTATATCCCCAACTGCCAATTTTTTGTACACAAACATGACAAAATCCTACTGCCCAAAAGTTACAATGCTCAGACCCTCCCAATCCATTAAAAGTTAGAATACATAAGCTGGCACGAGTAACATAAGTTACACCTGAAATAAAAAATTTAAGCCACCTAAACAAAAACATGCCTGAAGTGTTTTTTTTTTTTTTTTTGGCTTTTGCCTCATGTCTCGGTTGAGTACAAAGTTAGGTTGAAATATTCTACTGAAATAAACTTGGGAAGAAAAAAATAGCTATTGCTCCTTCTTGCTCATATCAGAATTATCATCGTCAAGCACGACAACGTCGTTCTTGCTATGGAGTTCTGCTTTTCTTTTATTCTTCATCTCATTGGAAACATTGGATAGCTTTCTTTTCTTCCCAGTTATTGTTGGAATGATTTGCAAATCATCATCGTCTTCAGCCACTAGGGGAACAGCTTCAGATGCACTGGATGTGCTCACTTCACTGTCCACAGCTGTATTGCTACTCTTTTCTGTTGCACGAGGTTGTATCCATCCCGAGAGAATCATAGCATCAGGTTCCTTCTCCTCGTCAAACTCCTCCCTGAAAATTTTAACGTGTTACTAGAGCTTTAAAAAAAAAAGAGTACATTTAGAGAATTTGGCTAAGCTTAGAAAGTTTACTTACAAGTAAATAAGTTTTAAAATAAACTATTTTTCTATTGACCAAAATTGAAAATTAGTCAGTCAGAGCATATTTGGCTAAGCTTGAAAAGCACCATCCTTTTTGACAGCACGTGTGTTTGCTGAGCTTAAAAAGCACCCTTTTTTGGCAGTATGCACCCTTACATGCTGCCAAAAAAAGGTGCTATTCAAGCTTAGCCAAACATGCTCTTCTTTTACTGATAAGATAGAAGTTTTTCCTTTTTTTTTAACAATTTTTTTTCCTCCTAGAAGTAAGAAAAGTAGTTCATCCAAACGTGTTTGGAAATAAAAACTATATATATTTTTATGCTTAGCAAAAGATGCACCAAGCAGACCACACATGAAACACAGATCATCGAATGAGATTTTCAAAAGAGATCCAGAACATGGACTCTTACATTCAATGAAAGTAGATGAAATCATACAGCAGTTATATATTGCTATCTTAAATCTAAAATGCAAAACAACAGTGTATTACTTTAAAATTTTGAAATCGCAGTACTTCGTGAAGATTTATGAGGAAATCTACTTATGTCTCCCCTTGGGGCTTTTTTACTGGCATGGATTTGTAACTGTACCAATAGTGAAAATCAACACTAAAACCACCATCATCAAGGCTGAAAAGCTCTATTCTTGTGCTAAATCGTTCCAAGGATTAACAAACAATCCATTGCAAATATCACATAAATTGAAACATCTGATCAGCAGCAATAAGGAAATAGTTCAGGTAAACAGCATTTGGAAACGAACATGAACATAGGTAATCAATAAAACAAAATGACAGGAAGCATCAATTTAATACCATCAGCTGTATACTAGCTGGAAACGAGAAGCTAAATTGAACACAACTTGCAATTAATTATAGATTATGATAAAAGAAAATAATGTTCACGGAAGTGATGTGAGGTTGATACTGATTATTAGTGAAAGAACTAGACTTAAATCGGAAAGAGAGAGTATTTAAAGCCACTCTCTACATGGCATGAAGTACGAATAATGTGTCCACTTTTTGGCTGAGAGCAAACTACAAAACCCCAAAAATAATGTGGTAGTCAAATTTTGAAGGAGAAAAAAGGGTATACTTTTAACCAAATTATTGTTCTGTTCATCATGTAAAAATGCCTTCAGAACCTAAACCACCTAATCATTGCTGATTTGATTATGTTTGGTTATACCCTTGCAGCTCCTGATGTGAAATTATGAGTGACATAATGATTAAGTCATTAAGCAAAAATATCAGGAGTAGTGGAGTGGCAGGACACAAACCTATGCTTGATATTGATGCTGCATTTCAGCTCTTGCTGAAGATCCTCAACAGTGAGAATTGTCCCACTCGTGACCGAAGCAGGAAGTTTGCATAGTACCTAACAGATGATAAATGAGCGGAATAGCAACTTGTCATTGAAAAGAAGAAACATACAAGAAAAGATAACCTACCTTTTCAAGGTTTGCTGCATAATTGGCAACCTCATCTTCCTCAAGATCATCACCAACCTCATACAGAAGGGCTGATCCATGCAGGATCAAAGGAAAATTCATGCCTAACTTTGCTTTCACAATCTTGTCAACAACATCCCTCAGCTTCGAGCGATGTGTATTAATCTCAAGATCCAAAGGTGTCTAATTCCAAACATATAACAAAAATTAGAAGGTGAATGTTCAACCAATCAGAACGCCTTTGTGTTCTAACAAAACAAAATTGAGTACAAGTGAAGACTTAGATTAAAGGGGAAATAGAGAATTGAGTAAACCTCAGAACAGACATAGCAAGATTTGTTTGGCTCAGACGGCTCTATTGGCATAAGAAGCATCTTTCTTGAAGGATGCTCAAGACAATAAGTCATCCTGCAGGGACAAGCAGAGCTTGTTAAAAAGCATTAACAATTGTCAAATTGCAAATGCGGAAATAAGGTTTGTGACTGTTATGCCATTATTCCTAAATTTTAAGCAGTAGAACAGGGTGCTAGTTTAATGCAGCTTTATATTCATGCAATATGAAAAAATCGTAAAAGAATAAGAAAGACTATCATTTGACAGAGAGATAGTGAGAATCAAAGAATAACAATGGTTATTAGACACCAATTTACTAAGTTCCTCAAAATTCTAACCAAATAAAGCGTCAACATCACCAAGGAATTTTCCACCACCCACCCAAAAAAGCCAAAATAACAATAAACTTCTTACTTTACTTATCTGTTGGGGCTTGTTGGAGTTACATAACTAAAAATGCCTGACTAGGCAAGAATAGAGTACAAATGGTGACAAAGAAAATAGGACCTACCGATAGTTTTTAACATCATGTTGCAGCACCTTGATCGCCTCGATCACAATCAACCCAGCAATAATAGCATTTGTTGTTGCAACAGCATGCACAATATTGCCAGCAATACCTTTAGCCTCAAAAAGACTATGCAGCGGAATCCCAAAAGAAGAAGCCCGGATATTTGCAGCAGCAGTTACAAATTCTACAGCTAACTGATCATCTTTGTCAAAACTCAAGTTACCAATCTCCTGAGACCGAGGGCAAAGGGAAACATTCGATATCAACAAGAACGAAGAAGAACAAGAACATGAGGTCCATAAAAATATGTACTAACTCGTCTCAAACCTTTTCTCGCTTTGAGAAGAACAGCTTCAGAGCCTCAAGAAATACTTTAGAATTTTCCTTTAAGGACCATAGATCCTGTGGATTTTTCAAACCCAGAGACGCCATTGCAGACAATGAGGGAGGATCACCATTTGAACAATTGTGCAGATTTCCATTTTGAATAGCAAGTTCGGAGGAAAATACATCTCTGACATAAATAGGCCTTGGCTTGTTACGATTTCTCCATGTCTCTTCACTTGACAAAGCTAATTCAATGTTATAACCAAAAACATGATCATATATTCTCTTTCCATATTGTTCTATATTTTCCTCCTCCTGCCGTTCAAAAACGTCTTCTGCTTGTTTTGATGAGCTAGAACCATCTTTGGAGTGCACATTCAAATCATGTTCCTGATTTTTGTCCCCGAATAACTTTGCAAAAAGCAGGTCCTTTGCCCATACAATACAGTGAACAAACTGCACCATAAAACGATATTATAATAGCATCATAGATCATAATGAGAAAGACTCGGAGACAACATGTCACTTACTTTACAACAAATAACTACTATTAGTTGATAAGATCAGATTGGTACTAATTTTTTAAGCGACCCAAGCAGCAAAGCATGTGTTGAACAAAACCAAACTACTTCAATTATAGAAAGGATGATCGTTTTTTGGGTATTATGAAAACCGCAAAATATCTAAATCTTAAAATTCCGCAACTCAACCAAAAACATTGAGTCAAAACTACTTCTTCATAATTAGACAGAATGCAAGTTAAGCGTTAATGAGTATATTTTACTCTTTTTACAAGAAACAGATTAACTTACTCAGTAACTATAGGAAGTAAATCATTAAGGAGGTGGTACCTTCGATGGAGTGCTGGTGATGGTACACACAGGGTAAGTTTTTGGAGCCGTTTTAGGCTGGCATTCATAACACTCGGTTCTGCCCTTTACGTGTACGGTAACCTGCCGCAAGCAAATGACAAAATTGAAAACGTCAAATGAACCTGATTAAGCAAACAGAAATGTCAGTAGATTTATGCAAATACTATTAGTCAGCTAGTTAATGCATGAAATATAAACTGAAGAAATCAATAATGGAATTCATAGCTCTCAGTTCTGCCCTTTACATGTACAGTAACCTGCCGCAAGGAAATGACGAAATTGAAAAGGTAAAATGAACCTGATTAAACAAACAGAAATGTCAGGGCCTTTAATTTGAAAAAAAAAAAAAATTTGAATAGCATTTTTTTGGAGAATGTGTGGTTAAAAAGTAGGAAAAAGTTTTGGATTTACGTGTAGAATATTTTATTGTGTGAATATGTGGTTGAAAACGAGTATGAGAAATAAATTAAATTAAATTAAAAACCATCAAACAGGGGCTTATGCAAATACTGTTAATCAGTTAGCTAATGCATGAGATATAAACAGAAGAAATTGATAATGGCATTATCTAATCCTGAAACTAAACTAATATACATTCTACACCTGTAAATAGTGACAACTGAGGTACATTACTGGCATCCAAACAAAAATTGTAACACGTCAATTGTTTAAAAAAATGAGTAACTCTTCAAAAGTAATACGGGAAAATACAATTACCTGTCCTAGAAATCCAGTGGTCCCACTTTCGACCAATGGAACACCAGCTGCCAAGCAAAGGCGGTTCACATGTCGTCTAGCATCTAAATTGTCAAGCCCATTCAAAACAACATTGAATTGCTTATAAAAATCAACATTGAAGTCAAGATCTTTGACATTGGCATGGTATGGTGTTATGCTAATGTCGGGCCTAAATTTCAATACAGCATCCCGAGCAACCTGGTCGAATATTTAATCAAAGTATATTAGGAGGACCTGAAAATCCAGCAACTAGCACAAAAAAGGAGGTGCTTATTTACTTACTTTAGCCTTAGATTGCCCAACATGGGACTTCCTAAACAAGAATTGCCTATTTAGGTTGCTCACTTCGATGGTGTCCATGTCAATCTGCAAGCAGAGGAAAATATAATAATAAAAGAATTGCACCCTTCCATCAGGAATATTAAGCACATCAGAAAAAGAGGGATGCTTAACAGCAACTCCAATGTTACTTCTCAAAATAAATTTTATCCACAACCAGCATTCAATAAGAGAATATCATATTGCAATAAAAGGTTCAGTAAATAAGCATTGCTATAAGGGATTTTTCAAAAGCCAGGGAAGGGAGAGTGCCAGAGGAAAGATGCATGACAAAGCACTGCAACTTTCATTACATATGAACCATTGCTTCAAATGCGTTGTACGTTAGAAGGTCGCTAATACTAACAAGATGTCTGAAGAACCAATATTGTAGTAAAGCATATGATCTGAAAAGGCTCCCCTATACCATTCTGGAGGAATGATAGAAATAGAAAAATTATAGAAAATAAAGATGAACGACATTACGTGACCACTTTAGACAAGGACACATTTGAACAAACAAAAGTCATCTCGGAAAAAGTTTCAAATATATCCAAACAAACCAGAATATGAAATGTTAATATTACACAAGGTGGTGAAATGAGCAAAAGTTTACTGTGCAGGAAGACAGCTCCTCTATTAATAGCAGAGAAGATACCAAACGAACCTCTAAAAAGACCCAAAATTTAATTGCATAACCTACATGTGTGAGTAAAGAACTTCGTACAAAAACAGGCTAGGGAGTGGCCTACACAGAAGAAATGAAATGGATTTTGTTGAGGCTTGAGCTGAGGAAATGTCTGTATTGGATAAAAAATATTAAATAAGAAAAAAAGAGAGTTTAATGATATAACGTCCGGGAGGAGATCTTAAGTAGCAAACACGAGGTGGATGCTTAAATTTCCCATTTGCCCCCATGCATCAAAGTCTGCATGGGTAGATATTTAGGCTGATGTTGTATTTTACTGTTGATCATAGTATAGTAAGCCCAAAGATTAAATTCGTTCCATCAATTTCAAGATAGATAAAAATAGCATTTGACTAAAGCAAATATTTCCAATAACAAAAGAATTTCAAAAAAAAAATTATTTCCCTCGCATTACTTACAAACACGAAAAAATTTTTGTGATTCCCAGATAGCCCTATTGAGATTTTCTCAATGGCAGGCCCCATGCAACTACCTAAGCTCAAATGTCACATCTTTGTGTCTGCTATGTTGCTTATGCCCTGTTCGATGGACATTATTTGATAAAATGAGTTTTGTAACAGTAAATTGTTGAAGAATGTGTGGTTAAAAAACTGAAAAAAGTTTTTGGTTTACGTGCAAAATATTTTATTTGACGAACGTGTAATTGGAAATGAGTTTGAAGAAAATTAAGTTTTGAAATAAAGAGAACGAAACAGAGGCTTAACCATTTCCAATTGTCTACTTCACTTCATTAACATCAAGTTTTGCGGAAACAATATGCAGCATCAGAATAGTATTATAAAATTCCAAAGAAAGAAATTGAATCTAGTATACATCTAATTCTCCATGCCCTAATTCTGTAACGAATCTACTATTGTTAATTGGTGCCTACAACAAAATTGTACTTACAGGTCAGCTGCTAAACATTGGTTTAGGTAATATTGAAAAGTAGTTAAAAAAAAAAGTCAACCGCATGTATCCTAAAATCCTAGTAAAGAAACCTTAGATATCCACGTGCATTCAAATAACTCAAAATTGCCAAAATAAAATTCTAAATAACGAAAACGGAAGAAAAATTATACTAACAATATGAATGTCTTGGAAGCCAGAGAGTGCGAGGGTTTTGAGAAGCTCGCAGCCGATGCCACCAGCGCCCACCATCAACACTTTTGAACCCTAAAATAGTTTTTAAAAAATTAAAAATAAAAATAATAACAATAACCATTTAATGCCCCCCAATTACCACTTCAACCGAGTAAATATTCAGTACAAAACAATCATGAGTTCACAAATACGAAACCTTAATCGTTGATGACTGCTGTTCCGAAGCCATTACAGAGAAGGAAAAACTTCAAGTCAAAGGGGGAATAATAAAGCTATAAATATATGTATAAATTGCATTTAAGAAAGAAAAGAGGAATTTTTAGGGGTGAAAATAGAGGAATCTTGGAAGGAAATTTGGGGGCTGGGTTCGACGAAAGGGCGCCAACAGAATCTCTTTCCTTCTTAGGAACGCGGTGTGTTTGGTTGCGGCGGAGTATAGAAGAAGAAGAATCTGTGTGCATCCGTTTGATTAGCAAACTTGAAAAATCTTTCCAATAGCACGTAAGTTTAAAAATAAAAATTTAAGTAGAATGCATTTTTCATAAAATTGGTAAAAAAAAAAATAAGTTTAAAGTGATTATATTTTGAAATTCAAAATTCATTTTCACCTTCGCATCGGACAGTCAAAGTAAAAATTGAATTCCTCATATACGATATTTTCCATGAAATTTAAATCAATTGAACGAACCCCGAAAGAAAATTGTAGTTTGGGGACAAACAAACAAATTTAGCCCCCGTTTGGTGCATATTTTGAAGGTAAGAATGCATTTTTACTGTTGATGTGATGGGGAATATGTGGTTGAAAAGGAAGGAAAAGTTATTGATGTGATAGAAAATATTATTTTATTGAAGAATGTGTGGTTGAAAATGAGTAGAAGAATGAGAATGA